GTAAAATTGTAATCTGAATTTAATATATAATTTATATGTATAATATATAATATAAATTATTAATAATTTATATTAAACTTATAAAATTTTATATTATTAGATGCTTATTATATCATGCAAATTTTATTTATTATTCGGCCGATTCGACCGGCACCTTGTCCACCCCACTTTTCACCTGCTTGCTTAGAACCTCTATAACAAGCTGAGGCTCTGTCTGCTGTTCCGCCCCTATATATATCTCTTCTTTCGTTCCATCTCCATCGTCGAGCCCGATCGGTAACGTAAAAGAAAAGGTAAGAAGCAATATCAAAGATGGGATCCTTCTTCTCCACCCTTCTGAATCCCGGTGCCGCAGCCGCAGCGGAGGAAGAAGGTTCAGCCGTCGTTGCCGTCCACTCTAAAGAATCCTGGAACGAACACTGGACAGCCCATAAAAACACGAACAAGCTAGTATGTTCTCAGTGCCCCCTTCACTAATTCCCAATAAGAAAATTTCCACGAAAAATAACTTTTCTAGGTTTTACTTGCTTCTTTAATCTGAAGCTGGTGATTGATTTCTCCGCTACTTGGTGCGGGCCTTGCCGTTTCATAGAGCCGACCTTCAAGGCTCTCGCTGCAAAGTTCACGGAGGCTTCATTCGTCAAAATTGACGTTGACGAGCTCTCGGTACTTTTTCCCCTTTCCCAATTCCGATACTCTTTTTTGAAAGTTTCTCCCTCTTTGGGAATTAGGGTTAGGGTTTTTTAGATTTGCTTGTTGATTGAAATTCATGAAGTGGATCAGGAAGTGTCCCAGCAGTGGAAGGTTCAAGCGATGCCTACTTTCGTGCTTGTGAAAGGTGGGAAGGAGGTGGCGAGAATTGTCGGTGCTAAGGAGGCGGAACTCCAGGGAAAGGTTGCACAGTTCATAGCCTAACCTGAATGGTGATTTCACGAATTTCTTTCTATATTTTTAATAATATTGTGTGTTAGGCAGTTGATGGGTTCCAATCTGCCTGATTTTATCTTAATTGTCTGGATGTTTTGTATGAATTGGTATTTTCTGCATTGTCTTGATAATTTGAGGCTTTCTACCATAAAAGTAATAGCTTGATCCTTTTATTAACGTTTCTAATATTTGTTTTCAATGTTACATGAGCCTTGTCACTGATGATTTGCATCTTTGATCCCTTCTCTTAGGAGAGTGGTTGTTGGATCATGGGCTTGTTCTAGCAATAGCTCTTGCAGGGTTGCACTCCTTTCTAGTGAGTGCTCCCTTTGATCAGTTGATCATCTTGATCAAGTTCCTTGATGAAACCTATTTGATACCTGCAAATTATCTACAATCACATGTATGATTATACATATATAACAATCTCCATTGATAGGTTGATAATTTTATTAATGTGATTTTAATCATTATCAACATATTGGCAATGTTTATTAATGTTTCTTATCCTACAACATTCATGATTTGGAGTGATATGAGATTAAGAAGAAAGATTAATTTGCATTTGCAAGTTCTAGAGAATTTAAGATGGGATATGAGTTGGTAATTAAGGTCTAATGTGAACCACAATGTGATAGATCTACTCTTTTATGATTTATCCCTTTTGAATCTTTTCAATTTCCTTTTATGTAAAATTGGGGGGTGAACTAAGCATTAGACAAACTACTTGAGGCTTGACTTGATAAAAGTTTGTTTGTGATCATTTAATTAAATAATCAAACAAATTTGAACATTTTTTGAAATACTCGATGCTTTAATGAACAAGCTTGAACAACTATGTGTTCGACTCATTATGTTCATGAACAACATCGTCCGAAGCTCCTGATCATGCTCGTTAGGAGCTCGATATTAGGCTCGATTCTTGATTCTTGTTTGATAAAAAGCATACTAATGAAAATAAAATGTTCGTGAACATACTCGTTTGATAGTTTGAAACAATTGCTAGAAATATTTGCAAACATATTTGTTAGTATGCTCGATAAAGCTCGTTCGTTAGGCTAATGAACATTTAAAACTAGAATTTTGTTTATAGCTTGATAAGGCTCATTTGTAGCTTGATAAACACGAAACAAATTGAACATGAACCAAACATGAACATCCATCAACTTAAACAAACTAAGCTTGAACACGAACATGAAAGCTCAAATCAAACTCAAACGAACATGAACAAGCAAATGCTCGGGTCGGCCCGATTCGTTTGCAGCCCTATGTAAAATGATATTTTGATGGTATTGGGAAATAGGCAAAACCTAATTCAAATACAAAGAACCAAAAAGAATAGAAAATGAATAGAACATTACATACAAAAATATAGATATTTACACGGTTTTACATAATTGATATTGCTTCTTCATATATGATTTGGTTGTGTAGATTATAATCTTAATTCCTTCAAGCTAATATAAAATGGCTCCCTCTTTATACTATAATATAATTAAGGGTATTTGAAAAATAAATTAACATTCTCAAAATAACACAAAATGAAATAACCCCCCCACAAATTCTGTTTCCTTTAAGTATGCATAGCATATATTATTTGTATGATAAAAATAGATTCTATAACTTAACACACACATACTAACTAACAATTCTACATTTGATATCAAAGTCAAGTGATGCTTTTATCTACTTGAAAGGAGGATTCAGTAACCTTATTTTACTGAAAATATGAAAACAAACATAAATACTGTCTATATTGTTGGTTGGTACACTTGCAAACTAGCATTAGCTCTATCAAATGCCACTGTATAATTAGTTTTAGAAAAAAATTATCTTATTGCCTTGGCTGTGTTGCCTCCAGTAATTGTATAGTCAGTGGAGGAGTTTTACACACGTAGTCTTAGGCTTCGTTTGGGATGATTTTCTTATTGTTTCTTAAATTAACTTTCTAGTACATAATTTAAAATTTTTATATTATAAAGTTGCTTTTAAAAGCAGTAAAAAAGCTGCCCCAAACAAAGATTTTTTTATTGCTTCTTAAAGCAGCTTTTTTGTATAAATTTTTTAATTTTTTAGCAGAAAGATGATTTAAGAAGCAGTAAAAAAGTCGTCCCAAACAAACCCTTAAACCTCATATTGCAGAAAGTATATTTCCATCACTCAAACCCATGGCCTTTAGATCATATTGGATATGTAACTCATCTTGGTCTATTAGTTGGAAGTTTTGGCTATCAATTAAGATATTTTGAATTTGAGTTTTGCGTATATGATGCACATATGAGTTTACTTTAATTGATCTGAATGTCTCAAAAAAGACCGCAGTGGATGCAACAGCTTTATAAGACCCGCCTCAAAAGAGATGATGGACACACTAAAGGCTTTGCATTTTACTTTATTTGATTCTCTGAGTAGTTGCGGCTCTTTTTCTTCCATGCTAAGATATGGAACTTGTTCTTCCACTCAAAATATTTTCAAGTTTTCTTTATCTTTTTTTTGGGTGATAATGAAGATCTTTTTTTGTCACAACTAAAAGCTTTCCCATATGATGACTTCAAAGAGAAGTTTTTCTGGCATTAGTGCTCATATCTTTAGGAGATGCTCTATTCCTTTAGGGTTTCTAACATTAAATTCGTTAGAAAACAATATAAAAAACTATCACAAACGAGATCTTAAGCTAATTATTATTTCCCACATTTGCTAGTGATCTTTTTATATAAAGAAAAATGTTTATCACTTTATTATATTAAGCTTAGTAAATATATTTCGTGTTCAATTTTATTCTTTTTCAAAACTTTTTTTTTTTTAAGTTGAAGTTGTATTTGACTAATTTAGAACTTTGTGCGTTGGTGTTCTAGTTGACATTAAATGATTATGGACATGAAACACATGTTTAATAACATTTTTATTGATACGTCATCAAAAATCACGCTACTTTTTTTTTTTTAATCTAAACTCTGATTTTAGTAAACTTATAATCAAAATGAGCATTTGGATAAGATGAGTCCAAAAATATCGGAAACAGACAAATTCAAGCCCAACTGAACCCAAATCAAAGTTCAAAAGCATAGTTGAAAACTTCATAATATTAATTAGATGGTCAAATTATATTCAGATATAATATTCTCAAAGTCGAATTGAGTGGCACGACAAGACAAATTTAATGAGCCCAAGATCATCTAATTTCGATGTCATTCAGGCATCCAAATGTTGAAAAAATTATCTATGATTAAGGGAATTGATATGAGTCCTTCACTTTGGTGCTCTGAATTTGTTTTAGATCTTTTTTGTATTTATGGGACATATCACTCTCAAAAGCCTTTAAATTGACTCCCCTTTACTTACATGAATGGGTCATTGGCCAGATATTTCAGTGAGATTAAAAATTTGAAGAATCTCAAAGCTCCATCATAGCACCACTAAAGTGAGCCTTTGCCAGCAATATTGGAGCAATACATGTTGACCATCGATGTTGGACTCATTGTTTTGAAAATCGGACGGGATCGGATCGGCCGGTTCAACCATGAACCGGTCCCATGGCCGGTTCAGTCCTCTTAGAAAATCGGTTGCATCAAACCGATCAAAATTGATTTGAACCACCGGTTCAACCACCCAATCGTTGAACTGGCCTGATTTTTAAGAATCGGCTGGTTCAATTAATGATATATTTAAATAATTTAGTTTAATACAAAATAATTTAGTATATATTAAATTAATTTTAAATATGATATAATTTCAAAAAAAATTTAAGCATACCGTTCCAAAAATACTGTAAAGTTATATATTAAATATATATAATTCATCATTTCCACAAGATTCCTTAACTCCATGTGAGTTCTTAATCTATGAATACATCAAAATGTATATAAATAACAAAACATAAAGCCTCTTAACAGGGGCGGAGCCAGAATTTTTTTCACGTGGGGGCACAAATTATGAATATTAAAAAATATCTTCGACCTTTTTCATCCGGACTTGGGACGACGATTTTAAAATTTTATTTTGTTAGACTAGTTATAAAAAAAGTTAAATTATATAATAAAAAAATTTGCAATCAAGAGCTTATGCTATGCATATTCTTCTTACATGACACCAACAATTTCTATCATAAGTCTTCATTTTTCGAAAATATTGTACAATTACTTTATAATCAATATTTTTAAAAATATATTTTTCAATATAAGTCTAGATTTTGATAGAGAATTTAATAGGCAGTGGATTATAATAATTACTTCTAAAATTTTTGAAAAAATAATGAATAATTATTAGACAAATTAAAAAATTATTTTTAAAGTGAAAAATTAAAATTTATTCAACAAAACTCAAAGTGCATGAAAAGTTTTAATTGAAAATCTTAAAACTATTTAAACTCAAATAAATGTTACCACTTATATTTAATTTTTTTAATCTGCTTAAGAAGAAATACAATACTTAAAAAAAATAAATAAAAAAAAACAATACTTAAAAAAAAATAAATACAAACAAAATCAATTTGTAAATTAAAAATTTTTAATCAGTATTCAAATTCCAACCCTAAAAGAAAGAAAAGCATCCACCTCTTCATCCGCTGAGAAAAATTTCTCAAAAAATTTGTACTCTCCCTCTCTCTCTCTCTAATTAAGAGAACATTTTTTTTAATGAGGCCAGTGGGGGCACGTGCCCCCAGTGCCCCCACCCTGCCTCCGCCTCTGCCTCTTAATTGATGTGGGACTAAATAACTAGTAGATTCTAGTTTCAACAATGAGTGCAAGATGGATGTTTCTAAGAGAATTTTTTGAAAAATTTTTGTATGAAATATTCAAATACAAAATTCTTAGAATTATTAAATTTTTTAGATTAAATTGACATCATTATTATGTTAATTTTATTAATTTTTTAAATTAATATTATTTATTACGTCATCTTGTTCGACCCCGGTTCGACCGATTTGAACTGTGAACCTCTAATTCTATCTGTTCATTGTCCGGTACAGCTTTCACGACCTTGGCTGGACTTTCATCAACCAATTGTTGTCGAGTCTCCGCCCGTTCGCTATTGTCGGATTAACGCCTAGCCGCTACCAATGCCAAGCCCATTTCCATCAGACCTTTGGGTGACTACCGCTAGATGTTCGCACCACCGTCGATCTCTGAACTTTCTCCTGGTAGCTGCCACAAAATCGTTGCCCGACCAACCACTACCTAATTTATGTTTAAACGTTGTCAAAA